GGAACCCAACATCCATTTTTATCCATCAAAGCTCATATTAATGACTCAAATTCATGCATGGACTCATATTAAGCATCAAGATGACATTTTTATGCATCATGAGCAACAAAGAGACTGAGATCTAACATATCTAACTCCTGGAGTTGCTCAAACTCACAAGGAGAACCCATGGGACAAAATAAAGCTCATAAACAACCTTAAACTCAAACTACCATAATGGATCATCAATTTAAGAACTTTATACCTTCAAAAGCTCCCAATGTTGATGAAGACTCTGGATCTAGAAGCTCAACCTCAACAAATGCTTGGTCTCCAAGTTCCTTCTTCTTGAATACACACAAAAATGACACAAAATCACTTCCAATGCTCAAAAATACTCAAAGGATCAACTAGGGTTTCAATGGGACGTAATGAACAATGGAGGCTGATGAGGGTAGGTGTCTAAAGGAAATAATGATGTTTAAATAAGGCTCATGCCCTAAAAACTAGGGTTTGGTCTTGGTTGTCGTACGCCCTGTGTACACCACGTATGCTTAGCGTACGTGGTTAAGCTCACCGACTCCAAGCGTTTATGTACGCTAAGCGTACCAAACATACGCCCAACGTATTTATTTAAAGGGCCAAACAAGAAATACCTGGAATCGAATGTTACAGTGACTTTGACCGTTGACCTTGACTGTTGACTTTAACCATAGTGGAATTTTGGTTAATTTAAGAGTTTTAGGGTGTAGACTGAGAGGGTATTCCCTTATTGTTGTTAGGTGTCTTGTAGTATCGGTCTACACTGTGTGAGAGTTATTGTGTTTAGTTGCTATCTACGAGGTGAGTCTTCTCACTATATTTACTTGTGTGGTAGTGTGTGCATGCTAACCACCTAGGTCTTAATTGTTGATTGCTATTATATGTGAAACTGAGTTGATGATAACTCCTAGACTGTTGTGAGTCCATGGGACTGCTGATAGTCCCCAGGGTTGCTGATAACCCGCGAGGTATGTTGTTAATCCACATGGCGTGCTGTTAGCCCATTGGGATTGCTGAAAATCCCCAGGGTTGCTGAGAACCCATAATTATTTGTTATGTTGTGTTGTACGTTATATTTTGGGAAACTCACTAAGCTTTGTGCTTACAGTTATGGATTAAATGTGTTTCAAGTACTTCAAATGATCGCACAAATGAGAAGGCTTGATTGTACACTCCGTCTTGCAAATTTTTATGATTTCCGCATTTTGATACTCTAATTTGGGATGATTGTATTTTATACACCTGGGTTTTATTGACTTGATTTTTATAACACTTGATGTTTTATCTATATTAAAAATGAAAAATTTTATGGTAAAAATTAGGATGTTTCAATATTAGAACAAAACTATGGAATGAGATTAATCTCTATGGGATGGAAAATGTGATTATAAGCTTATTATGTCGATTGAATAGAAAATGAGGAAACATTGGTTAGGAAGCACCAAGTGAAATACATGGAGTTATAGTTAGTTTTCACTAATTAGCAGGGTGGTACGTGTGGATTTTCCCTATGGGATACATGGCATAATAATAATTTTTTAATGAATAAAATCTTTGGAATAGGAAGTTAAGATGTGAAATAGTTTTGAAAGAGAAAAATAATGGTTGATGATTAAATGAACTTTTTTAAATAGTAAACTAATAATTTTGAATAGTAAATGTTTTAAATAGATGAACTCTTTGAAAGAGTAAGTTAGTACCTAAAAAATGATTTATAAAGATAAAAGCATGTTATAAGCTTTATGTTTAATGTTTTAAACTTGTTGATGCCTTGATATGATAATTGTTTATACTATACAAATTGATATTGTTTCTATATAAAGCATGACATTTGTATGTGATTGAGTCACTAAAAGAAAAGTGGTGATCATGCATCATTAGAGTGAACTACATAGTAAGTATAATGAATAAATCGGCTAGCCTATGATGTCCCATAAACGAATAAGCAATACTCTACTACGATGATACCTCATGTCGTGTAGTAGATGTCTATAAACATGATTTCATGATAAGATGATTTGTTCTCCTCTTATGGTAAGTTAAAAAGGGTCACACAAAGCGACTTGGTCTGACTTGGACCCACGATGCGGTATGTAATCGTAATCTTAACAAAAGGATAATGAGAGGCATGGCGACTCGTAAATTGGGATTGTATGAGGTCACGCATTGCATATTTAGTATTTGTTTAAAAGTTTGTTAAAGTAAGTATTTTATCAAATGGTTGATAATATGTTTGTGTCTAAACTCATGTAACTCACGAGAATTTTTTTTTATTACATACGTTTTGTTTAAATGTCATGTATCTCAGGTTCGGGTGCAAAGGAGTAGAAGATTGTGACTAATAGCAATGAGTTTTTGAAGGATAAAGTTGGAGATAGTTTATGTCATTTATATATTTACTCCAGTTTAGCTATATTGGTGAAACATTTTTTCCACTTTCAAAAACTGTCTTTTTAAAAAAAATGTTCTTGTTTATAATAAAATTTTAAAAAATCTTATTTTTGTTCATCAATTTACCATTGATATTTATGTTTTTTGTTGAATTTAACCCGTTTAGTTTCTCTATCAATGATCTTAAATTCGGTACTCTCTTCCATCATTAACTTTGTTTCAATTTTGTGGTAAGTTCTTAGCTTTAATCTGTTTAGAGCATGGAATAATTTTTTATATTAACTACTTTGGTGGTTGGTGTTATTGATGCTCGACCGGTGGCGACACTGATGGATTAAATGGTGGATTCAACGGTGGTTGGTGGTGTTAGTGTCGGGTTTAAGGAGGTAATGGTGAGATGGGTTTGTATGTGGTGATAAGTGGGACCCTTATATTTATTTATTAAAATTAATATAATAAGAAAATGAAAAATGTCACTGTAGCATAATTAAATTTTGTCATTAGCTTGATTTGCACACTAAACTTTTTTTTGTGTAATAGACCATTAAATTCGTGACATACTTTTCAATTAATCCACTTTGCTCGATTTGAAACGGTTACCCGGTAACCAAGCCTACGTAGAAGTGTGATGTGTCGATCATGAAGATTATGTGGAAACATTCACATCATCAGTACTCCTCCCAATATAATAAAGTAATCCCTAATTCGGCCCATTTCCCAGTTCATTTTTACTTTATTTTGATGTTTATACTCTTTAATTTATGGTTTTTAAGATATGATAAAGCTGATTGGTTGTAAGCGGAACTCGTTTAGGCTAATTGTGGAACGAAATTGATGCATTTAATTGAATTTTTTCAGGATCTTTCAATTTAAAAGTGAACATATAACCCTAGAACATGAAAAGATTTTAATATTGTTAGCCCTTCAAGATGTTCAAGTCAATAAGACAATAATTGCTTGAATTCGAAAACCCTTGCTTTCCCTCAATTGTGAGAAGATAATCATTCTCACGTAGGTTAGCAGAGGCAAATTCCTCTTATCTAACTCCGTTTTCTTCACCAACTAAAGCTCTGATTTTCAGGAGACCTCCGATTCCGCCATTTTTCTGGTAGAGCCTCTTGACCCTAGTACCGGTAAAACTAGGTGAGCGCCGCCGGTGGATTCTTTTGGTAACACACAGTCGAATAATGGAACGAATGTTGATACTCACAAAAATATTATAATTCTGGTGGTTGTTACTACCACAAAGACATTTTTCTTGTTGGATTGATGTTTTGTTGTTATAGAAGAGGATGGGATAAACGCCGACAAAACAATGAAAGAACTCTTCTTAGTTTGCGTTTCAACGATTATTCTATTAACAGTGTTAATCTTTTTGTTGGTTCGTATAAACCTTTGTACAATTTGAATTCATTTGTTCGTAATATTGGAAATCCCGACGATGAATAACAAGATGATATCTAGGGTTAATTACGTTTTTATAATTTTCAAAAAATAAAAAATAATTTGATATCTAAATGGTTAAATGACGTGACTACCAAACAATAAAGATAAATTAATTATTAACGTCACACTGGTAACCTGTTAAATTCGACCAAAATGGCTTAATTGACAGGTTATCAATGATTTTAATGGTTTATTGCGTAAAAAAGTTTAATGACCAAATTTAACAAATACTAATAGTTTATTGTACTAAAGCGACATTTTTCATAAGAAAAACATATAATAAGGAAATGACATAGAGAATGGAAATCTTGTCATTTCATGCATACTTAACAGAGAGGTGTCGACAGTCCTACTTAAAGGACCAACCGTGAAGGATATTAAACCATATGATCAACGACATCAATTTTTAAAAAGTTGAACTCAAATGAAAAAATGGTGTAAACTATAAAGACCCAAATTATAATTTCTCTTTGTTTTATTAAAAAAAATATTTTATTTCTTATTGTAAACTATCATTATTATATTGTTGATGTATTGATACTAAAAGTTATATTAGAGATAAACCCAAGATTCCTGAATATCAAACCGGGTGGAAGTTGATAACGAACACCAAACTAAACTAACATTATCAGTAATGGTACCGGCTTTCGATACTAACACTCATAATGAATCCTAAATTTTATAATTTTAAAATACCGAATTTTATCTCATATTAAGATTATAATTCAAGCCGAAAGTTTCATACTTTTACTCACCCTAGTATAAAAAAGAAAAAGATTGTATCAAGATATAGTTGTATTTGAATTTTTTTTTTTTTTTTTCCAAATTACATTTGGATACACTTTTGAGTTTTGACATAATATTTGAATTTCATTATACATTTATACGTTTCTATTTTTCCTTTTTAAGCATATTTTATAAAGTATTTTATACAACTTATCCAATGACTGCTTCCCACGTGTCAGATACGGATTGCTCAAACTCAGTACACTAATACAGCACCCGATAATCAATCCCCACTCTATATCCACATCTAATGTTGCTATAAATATCCGTATTCATGATATCTTGATCATCTTCCTTCGTCAAACTTTTTGCCTTTCTCAATCCAAATTTCCTTATAGAAGGATAAAATTCATCCAATGGAAGATTACACTGAGCTAATTCCGGGTTTACCGGAAGAAATCGCACTCCAGTGCTTGACTCGGATGCATTACATCGTCCATGAGGTCGCCTCCCATGTCTGTCAACAGTGGCGCCTCCTCCTCCAGTGCAGAGACTTTTATTACCACCGGAAACAATCTGGGTACACTCATAAAACGGCTTGTTTGGTTCAATCGCTTCACATTCCGGCCGATTCCAGTGGTGGTAACTCTAAGCCGGAGAATCAACCGAAATACGGGCTATCCGTTTTCGAACCGGATTCTGATATTTGGAGCCAGGTGGACCCGGTTCCGAAGTACCCTGACGGGTTGCCGTTGTTTTGTCAGGTGGCGAGTTCGGAGGGGAAGCTGGTGATGATGGGTGGGTGGAATCCGGGGAGTTGGGAGCCTCTACGTGATGTTTTCGTTTACGATTTCACAACTCGAAGGTGGACTCAGCGAGTCGATATGCCGTCGAATCGTTCGTTCTTTGCTGTCGGCGCCTTCGACGGAAAAATCTACGTCGCCGGTGGACACGACGAGAGCAAAAACGCGCTGAAAAGCGCGTGGGTGTACGATATCACTGCCGACGAGTGGACAGAGTTGGCCCCGATGAGTGAGGAGCGTGACGAGTGTGAAGGAGTGTTTGTCGGTTCGGAGTTTTGGGTCATTAGCGGGTACGATACCGAGAGCCAGGGTCTGTTCAAAAACACGGCGGAGGTTCTCGATATCACAACCGGAACATGGCGGCGCGTGGAGGAGGCTTGGGGAGTTAACAGGTGTCCGAGAGCTTGCGTGACTGTGGGACAAAATGGGAATTTTGCTTGCTTGGCGGATACTGATCCCGCTATTCAAGTCGGAGCATGTGGTGTTGACCTCGGTGATCGGACTTTGGTCACCGGATCGGCTTACCAGGGTGCACCGCAGACCTTTTTCCTAGCGGAGAAGAACCACCAAGGGCATAATAGTAAATTGGTTAAAGTGGATGCTCCGGATGAGTTTTCCGGGTTTGTGCAATCGGGATGCTTTATCGAGATATAATATTTTTTAGGGTTTGTTTTTATTCCTTTAAAAGAAATTCCTTTTCTTATTTTTTGTTAAAAAAGGAATGTTATTCGATTGTATATGACGCGTATGCAAAAATCGGGTCAACCCGATTTATTAATGCAATGTTATAGAAGCAAACTCTTTTATTACATCTACTATTATTCTTCTATTTGAATGAACTGGTATGTTAAAATCTAAACTAATGAAGTTGAATACAAAAAGCTATGTTTTTTATATCCAAAAAACATAGCTTTTATGAGTTATGACATTCATATTATATTTTTGGTATTTTTGTATTAGAGTATGTGAAATTCCTCAATGAAATCCAACCGATTATGATTTTTTTTTTAATTAGTTTATAATTCAAAATACCAAACTAATTTTAGCTGAATTTAAACCATACAAATAATGGTACAGGGATGCCACACTCATACCACAGCCATATCAACTATCGCACACCCACTCCCTCCTCGAGCCTAAAATCACCTTTGTTTTCACTGATTCCGACACAATCTCCTTTTGATTTTATCGACGTTTTTTGCGCACCAACTATTTCATAACTCTACTTTTTAGACCTTTTTTTTCTATAAAAGCGAATAAAAAATAAAACTATTATAAAATAAAAAGAATGTTGCTTTCAAATTTTCTTATTTGACTCCAATACTATAATTCGTCCAAAAGGATGCTTACAAAGGATGCTTCTTCCATCCCGATAAAGTATGTTTTTTTTATTAAATATAGCTGTTAGTAATAATTTATTTATACTAATGATATTGATTCAATACCCGTATTTATTGTATTTTAGTTTATATAAAATCAGTTTAACTATTTGTTTAGTATTATAACATTTGAATTATGTTAAATAGACAAATGGGTTCCAATTGGGTTTATTATATTTGAATTTGCATACCGTGTTTGTTAATTGTTATCAATGTTGTTTTTGCCGATATTTCCTGGTTCTATTGACATCAAAACTAACTACGATTTATGCACTTTGTTTTAATCGCTATATTGGTTAAAAGATCCAGCTTCTTCAGTCGATATTAAAAATAGGTTTTATAGCTGTAGAGATTAACTTATTAGTAAGATATTGTGTAAATTATTATAATTGCTTTCTTGTTGTGACTCTAGGTTTGGTTTAATATCATAATATGGTTTATAGTGACAGCTTTGGGTGTGCAAGCGGGGCGGTGCGGTTGCATCACGCCTCTGATTTTAGGAGGCTTTTGAATTTTGGAACAAATCAATAGTTATGTTGATATTTTTATAAAATATATTCTTATGTGTTATCATTAAAGAAAATTAGTCGTATCGGTTACTTATATAAATTTGTTTGCAATTTTGAAATCATATTAATTATGAAAAATAATCAAAGAAAATCAAAAAATCAAAATCTAATCGTAAATTCTAAAATTTATCACCAATTTAAAGAAAATGTCTATATTCAAAGAAAAATATAAATTTGTTTCTAATATAAATTCTAGCAAACAATTCTGTATTTTATAAGTCGTTTTACACAAAAAATCTAATATAGAAAATCAAAATATAATCATAAATTCTAAAAGACATTTTGACTAAATAGATTCTCACTTTAAAATTACAATGTGAGAAAGTTTAATTGAAAGTGTCAAAACAATAGTGATTCAATCTCCTAAAATTGTAGAAGCTCTTTATAAGCTTTTTGACGAAGAGACGTATATAAAGATCAAAAGTGAAGCTACTTGTTTAGCAGAGTATGAACTTTGCATAATTGACTTTATAATTGGTATGGTTATATGGTATCATATATTGGCTAAAGTAAATAACCTAAGACTTCAATCTAAGACTATATGTATTGATGAGACTATATGGTTATATGGTATCATACATTGGCTAAAGTAAACATATGGTATAATATATTGGCAAACAACTTCAATGTGAGACTATGCGTATTGATGAGGTAATGAGTAGTGTGGGAGAATTTATTGAGTTTTTTAAAGACTACAAAGTGAATGGGTATGAGAAGGCTTTGGATTGTGCAAGAGTTATAACTTCTGAATTATGAATTGATCTCATGTTTGTCAAGAAAAATAATAACATAATTTTTTTTTAAAAAAAAAAAGACATTTTGACGAGGGTGACGTTTGGTCATCGGAACCTGTACACTAACTTTCACCTCAAGAGCCATTTATGATTCAATATTTTGTGTACATAGTTGATCAAACTACTGATTCATTATAGCGGAGGTTTGAACAATACAAACAATATGAAGACATTTTGGTTTGTTATTCGCATCGAAAAAATTGGAGTCATTGAATACTAGTGGGTTAAAGGAAAGGTCCAAAAATCTTAAAAGAGGTTGCAAAATGTTCATATCCCGGACATCGATGTTGATGATTTGTTCAACGAACTGGGTTACAAAAACATTTACTGGCTGAACATAATACAACTAACGAAATACTAAATTTCTTAGAAATGATAAACATTTATCTAGTTTCTCGTCTAACATACAAAATATTATTGATTGTTCCATTATGGTTGCATCAATAGATAGAAGCTTTTCAGATTAAAGCTTCTAAAATCTTATTTGCGCTTGACCATGTCTCAAAAGAAATTAAACGCTTTGGCTTTAAGTTCAATTGAGAACGGATTTTTTTGATAATTGTAATGTCTGGTTTCCAGTGTGTTCCTAGCTATCAATTATTGGAATTTTTGGTTAAGGAAAAAGGGTGAAAACCCTCCAGGCGCAATGCGTGAGATGTGTGTCGTAGCGTATGGGGCGTGTATCTGACACGATGCGTCTCTAATTGGGTTCGACACATCGTAACTGATGGACCTAACCCTAGTTTCTCGGGATTTGGATTGTATTTAAAGGGCACTAACTTCTAGGGTTTCTCATATATGCAGCCTCCACCTCCAGAAACCCTTGAGAGCATCTTACCCTTCCATATTTGAGTGTTCTTGATCTTGGAAGCTTTATGATTGATTTTTTTAGAAGAAGAAGTGAAATCTTGATGCAAAGAAACAATCCCAAGTGATGACCCAACCATCTAGGTGCAATCTGGACTTTTAAGTGCCAAAGTTCCAACCTTTATCATGTTTGATGCATAGAACTAAGTGTTAGATGAGTTTTGGTCAATTTTACTCATTTTGGGTCCCTTTGATGTGTTAAACTTGGAGTTTGGAAAACTCCAAAGCTTTGGACTTGTATTTTGATTAGATCATGACTTTTGATGGAGTGTAGAGTGCATGTATGAGCTCTCTTTGTTCCATGCAAGAACTTGTCATTTTGGGCACTTATAAGATCTAGGGTTTTGGTTTTAGATTGTATTTGGCATGTGCATGGATAAAGTTGGAAACTTTATCCATTAAGACACTAATTATACCTAGATTTGGAAGTATTGGCTTTTATATTTGCGGATTAAGTGGTTTAGCAAGTAGCTGAAGTAGCGTGGTGCATCCTTTTATGTTGCAACACATCTCTCGTGTCCAAGTCATGATTGTTTTGTCTCCTAGCTTGCGTGACACGTCTAGCCGTTGACCGGCTATTGACCGTTGACTTTTTAACCAGCTTGACTTTTAGTCAAACTTGGATGGATTTAAGTATTAGATTGAGGTTTGACCTTTGATTGGCATTAGTTAGTGCATGTTAGTTGTTTCGTCTGAGGAGTCAGTCGTTGAGTTCCTACTTGTTGGATTCATGTGATTTTGCTCACTATACTTTATATGACATTATATGTTCAGTGTGGTAGGTTGGATGGGTTCTGCTCGGGTACGACTATAACAAACTGGATTTTTCTACTTGTACATCTAAGGAAATTCTCAGAGTTTTTCTAACAACGTGGAGTTCTAATAAAATTTAAAACACTTTAAATCTCAGGTTTAATCACGGGATTACAGTAAAATCTTGCAAAGAAATTGAAACAATAAGGAAATGAAATTTATTCTAGGTCTTTGTGCTCGTGTCTTCAATCACATACAACAACTGCTACCTGAACCTACAAAACATGAAACATATCTACTACATCAGACCACAGGTCTGGTGAGTTATATTCTAATATGTTCTCATGTTCAACTACTCTTTCTTTCTTTTCTCTTCTTTCTCTTACTCTGCAATCTAATCTATTTCTTTCATACTATACACTGCTATTCTTTCTCATCTCCTCACATCTATTTCTTCTACTCTTTTCTCTTTACTTATTCTCACTTCTCATCTTATCTACTATGTTCTCTTTTATCATCTCATCCATATCTTTTCTTCTATCTCTTCTCATGCCTTAGCATTCTATTCTTTCATTCTTATACTTTATCTTCTACTCTTCCTCTCTAATATCACACTATTATTCTTCTTATTCATCTATATCTTATATCTTTCTTAGCTTCTTCCCAGGCCCATCTCATACTCTACACATATTTTATCTCTGCCTCTACCTCTATCTCTTCTCTACTCTTCTCTTCATCTTTCTATCCATCTTCATACTCTATCTCATCTCATATTTCTTTGCTCTTCTCGATACTCTATGCATGCTCTTCTCTATCTCTTACTATGTTCTTTTCATATCTCTAACTCTTAGCATGCCTTCTCATACTATTCTTGCTTCATCACATACTTCTCATCTTGATCCTTCATAGATCCATTGACATTCTTTTTATTCTCTTGGATCCCTCATGGATCCCTTACTCTTAATCCCTCACTGATTATCTATAAGTTCTTACAAAAAAATCTCTCTTATCTTGTTCCTCTCAAATAACTGGTTATCTATTCTTTTCTAATCATACAATTTCTCATTCCCGCAGGGATCATCATCTCTTTCCCCACAGGTACATAATCTCATTGCCAAAGGAATCCTACTCTTATTCCCCTTAGGAATCATACTCTTTATTCCCAAAGGAATCATACTCTTATTCTCGTATGAATCATACTCTTTATTCTCATAGGAATTATACTCTTATTCCCTTTGGAATCATACTTTTTATTCTCGAGGGAATCTCTACCTCGTTCTCGAAGGAATCAT